AATTTTTTAGTAAAAAAATAAAAAAATTTGTATTAAAAAACAGCTTTAAGAAGCAGTGAGAAAGCTTTCACAAACGAAGCATAAGTTTGAATTAGTGAGAGAGTTACATCAAAGAAATCTCTTCTGTGAATGTTATCATGTTCACTTTAAATTTATCAAAATTTGCCAAAGTACTTCAACTACAAATTAAAGCATTATGATTTAGATATTTTTATAGCGAATGGTGTTATTAAACAATATTATATAATTAGATATATATTATTTTTATTAGTGATGTTGCGTCCAACAATATTCACGGCGACAAAGAAATATAAAGTTTAACGTCCTAGCTTTGTATGAAGATCCAGCACACAGACAGATAAACAATATGTGTGTAGCATTTATAAGAGACTCCATAATTTTTACGTGGAAACCATTGAAAAGGGGAAAAACCACAAGACCTTGCATAGTTTATATGAATCCATTAGTGTTTGCAGTCGATTACAAATGAGGCTCTTTTTTCGGGGAAGACCTTTGCTTGATGTAACCAACATAAATTTATATAAAGTGCATTACATGGCGGGATTTGGAAGAATCATTGTTGACATATTTATTTGGTTGGCATGATCATAATCGGCTAGCAATGTAGATAGGAAGGACCACAGTCGGGCGAAGTTGATCGGAAGGATTGTAATCGAGCTATGAATGTCAGAAGGACTGTAGTCAGGAGGCGATGGTTAGAAGGGCCGTAGTTAGCGGATGACGGAGGTCAGAAAGACCATAGTCAGGTAACGATGGTTGGAAGGGCCATTATCGAGCGATAGATGTTGAAAAGACCATAGTCAACGGGTAATGAATGTCAGAAAGATCGTAGTAGACGGACATCTGAGATAAAAAAGATCGTACTTTGGTGACGATGGTTGGAAGGACTGTAGTCGGGCAAAGATATTAGTCAGCATGCGACGGAGGTTGGAAAGATCATCGTCGGAGGGTAACAAAGGTCAGAAAAAACATAGTCGGCTGACGGTGGTCTGAAGGACCGTAGTCGACAAGTGTCAGAAATCAAAAAGACTTTAGTCAGGTGACGGTGATTGAAGAGGCCACAGTTTGGAAATGTCAGAGAGATTATAGTCATTGACGGTTGTTGGAAGGACCATAGTTGGGTGACAGAGGTTAGAAAACCTGTGTCAGGTGACAGTGGTCGAAGAGACTGAAGTCTGGAAATATTGGTAGGAGAGACCATAGTTGACGGGCGATGAAGGTCAGAAAGATCGTGTCAACAGGCAATGAGGTAAAAAAAATTGTAGTTCACAGGCGATGGAGGTTTTAAAGATCATTTTTAGGCGATGTGGGTCAGAAGGATCATAGTCGACAGGCGATATTGATCAGAAAGAATATTTTCTGGCAATGGAGGTTAAACAGATCATAGTCAACGGTCGATGGTAGTCAGAGAGGCCATTGTCTTGCGATGGAGGTCAGAAGAACTATAATTGACGAGCGATAGTGGTCAGAAATTCCGTTGTTTGACGAAGGAGGTCATAAGGATCATAGTCGATGCGCAACGGAGGTAAGAAAAATCATTTTCTGGTGACGAAGGTCAGAAGGACCATAGTTGGTGGGTGACAGTGGTTAGAAAGATCATTGTCAGGTGACAAAGGTCAGAAGGACCGTAGACAGAGTGCAGCGGAGGTCAGAAGGACCATAGTCAGGTCACGACTGGTGGCTGGGCAAAAGTCCGACGATGGTTGGTGGCTAGGAAAAAGTCTGGCGAGAGCTGGTGGCTAGGTAGAAGTATGACGAGGGCCGGTAGCTGAGCAGAAGTCTGGCGAGGGATAATGGCCAGGCAGAAGTTTATTGAGGGCTAGTGGATGCGTAGAACTTCAGTGATGGCCTGTTGTCGGGCAGAAGTCCGGTGAGTGCTGATTAGCAGGGCAGTAGGGCAGTAATCAGACGATGGCTGGTGGCCGGGCCAGTGAGGGATGGTGCCTTTGTAGAAATTCAACGACAACTGGTGGTCTGATGGTGGCCCGTCAATGGTAGAGAAAGAGCTAAGTGGAAAGAGATCAAGGATAGGTTAGGAATGTTTCAGATGGACATGCGATATCGATTCCCTTGATCATGGATGGTTCATTGCATATTTGTGTGTCTTAGAATTCAACGATCTTGGGATGTCACATTTGGAAATCATTTGATCATCCAACTTATGTTTTGAAACTTCTAAATGTGCTTTGAACTATCAATTTGGGCCGATTTGGGCTTAGATTGAATCGAATTTGGTGTCATTGGGTTTGTCTTTTCAAAATGTTCATTTCATTCATAATTTTGCTGAAATTGAAGTTAGGATTGTCCCATAATTAGTTTTAGAAATTTTCAATATAAATTTGCCTCGAGATTAGAGCCTGATCAAGATACTTTTTTGGTCATATATCAAGTCAAATATAGATATTTATGTAATATTGAATTTCAACTTAAATCTATTAAAATTTATCCAAGATTAACCTCACAATTATAGAGAGATCTTATCAACTTCATTTTCTATAAACATCTAATAAAATTTTGAAGGTTTGTTTTTCCTTTTTTTTCCTAGGATAATTTTGTTCCTCTCTCTCTCTCTCTCTCTCTCTCTCTCTCTCATTATTAAAATTAATTTTGTATTTTATACATCACCAAAAATTGCCTTATCGAGAACGAATCTTGAGGTATATTCAAGTTGACATCACTACAGGAAAAATGTCATTTTTCGGCGGTCATTTTCGTCGAAAAATGGATAAAATCCGTCGGAAATTAGCATTTCTGGCGGACATTTTCGTCGAAAAATGAATACTCCGTCGAAAATTTTCTGTTGGAAATCCGTCGGAAAGTAGATCGAATTTATTTCCGTCAGAAATTCCACAGGAAAGTAACTGTTTTCCTGTAGTGCGTCTTCCAAAATTAAATTTGGGGCCATCTAAATTCCAATTTTAACAAAAAAAAAAGTCAAATTGAAGGTCTCAGTACAGCAAACCCAACGACGCTAAAATCGATTAAATTTGAGCCCAAATAGGCTCAAATCAAGGGCTTAAAGCCTAATTAAAAGCTTTATAGCATTAATTAGATGATCAAATAATATCCAAATATAGCATATTTATAGTCAAATCAATTGGCTCAATGAGATGAATCCAACAAACATAAGATCACTTAATTTTGACATCATTGATTAAATTAAATGCTAAATGAACAGTCGAGGACTGAGGGGATCAATATGGGTCATCCAATGGAGCACTATGTATGTATTTGCACCGGATCTTTCCAATATTTACAAAACATGTCACTCTCAAAATATATAGATAGATCTCCACTTCTTACATGAGGGGGGCTTTGGACTAAAGATTAGAGAGTAACTTTAAATCTTACTCTCGACTACAATCAACTAAAAAATGGCATCTCTTATAATTGATGCACCCCTCTCTCTTATATGTGTGTGTTGGATCTTTTTAGCCAGCTAAGACACTAAACTTTATATCTCTCTATCATTGATAATGCTCTGGCAAACAATAATTTTTATAATATTCTAATATCATTCATAAATAAATTTAAATCTAATAGACATAAAAAAAAGGGGGGAGACAAATAGGCCATTGATTTGGTGAAAAGGAAATGCAGAGAAAAATGATATGGACTGTAAAACGAAGGTAATTTTTGTAAAATTAAATAGGTAAACCTAGTTATTTCCAAATACATAAAAAATGAACAAGATGATGTAATTCAAATATTTTTGAATTTTAGTATGTATTTTATTTACTTTAAATCAAATATAATTATTTTAAAATACCCTACATTTATAATACCTTACCCTCATTTTATTTTAATAATTCAAACATCCCCAAAATCTGATGTATCAACTTGTCGAAAAACAAAAAAGTGAATTTATATGAAATTTACTCCATTCGAATGGTAAAAAAAAGACAATTTTGTTTCATTATATGATATTCGATTACTTAAGTAGACAAGATAAAATACTTATTTAGAGTTAATACTATAAGTATTACAATTAAGTTATAGTAATATGATATTTAAACGTATTTAAATAGTATTCAAACACTCATTTAAAAACTTATGCGAGAGTCAATTTCACTCTGAAAGGGACGCTGACATGTTAGAATCGTGTTTTCTTTATGGCTATTAATCGAACTTAATATTGGCGTGCAAGGAGAAAACTCCTACCAACCATTGGCCCTATGATGTAGAAATTGCTCTGTGCGGAGGACTCAGAGTTGTGTCAAGATATATGAGCATATGCAGTGTGTTTATATTATACTGTGTATATTCACGATTCAGATGCAACTCTACATTTGAACTTTACACAGAATAATTTTTTGCGATGAACTAAGGCTTCGTCTGGGACAACTATTTTGTTGCTTTCTAAAACAGCTTTCTAACACGAAATTTTGATACTAAAAAATTGTTTTAGAAAGTAACAAAAAAGCTTTCTCAATCGAAGCATAATTGATCCAGCAAAAGCCGAAAAAACTGACTCCAATGAAATTATAAAATTTCATCTGAAGATATAAATGCAATACTATAAGAAAATTTCAAAATATATATATAAGAAAGAAATGCAATTTATATTTCTAATTTATGAGCGAAATAATGCCTTCAAGATCAAGATGCATCTGCTTTAATATTATTTTAAGAAAAAATATTTAATGTGTCACATAATTTTATTATTAATTAATTTGCAAGACATATAATTTAATACGTAGAATATAAAAATAAAATTACAGAAAGTCTTATATTAATATATTCTATTTGACAGCGTAACAATGGTCTTTTTTTTAAAAGCTGATGCCCAATTCTTCGGAGAAAAGCAAAAGTTAAAAGACAGAAATCACGTTCCTCAATTATTAGTCAACTTCATCCCTTAACGTTAGATTCACTCTTTCACTGCACAGAACCACTGTATATCTATTTACCTATTTCAATAATTAAGCTCGTTGATTTCATTTTAATTTTTTGTTTGATATTTTTTCAAAAATTATTATATCCTAAATAAAAAAATTTACTTCGAATGCAGAGAGATCAGAGAAGTGAAGCAAAATTCTTCGTTATAAATTCTCTGTCTGCTCTGTTACCAAAGCTTTGCTGTTTCATGGCCGAGAGCTGAGCCACAAGTACAGAGGCAGTAGAGAATGATGTACCTCGCAATAGTCCTAACCCTCGCCTTGCCCGCCGCCTCCTTCCTTGCATCGCTTGTCTGCGTCCTGCTCCTACGCGGCCGGAGGAAGCTCTGCCTCGATGCAGAAGACCTCGAGGTCGGCGTGACCACTGCTCGTGTCGCCGATGGGCCCGAGTCCGGGTTGGACGGCCCGCCTCCGGCACAAAAAGATGACATCTTTGCTCTGTTCCCACGACGTTTTACATGGTCGGAGGTGGAAACAGCCACCGCCAATTTCACCTCGGATGTAATAGGCAAAGGGGGATTCAGCACAGTGTACTTTGCCCGTCTCAAAGACTCCATTGCCGCCAGCGTCAAGCTCCACCAAAGAAGCAAACGCCTCCACCTCGCCTTCCGCTTGGAGCTCAGCATCCTCCTCCACATCCATCACCCCTACATCGTTCGCCTGCTCGGCTACTGTGACGAACAAGGTATGTAATAAAGCTGGAATTAATTGGTGAACAGAGAGGTTCAAATTTTGAGCTGATTTCAAACGGGCGTGTTTTGTGAACAGATGAACAAGGCGTTCTGATCTTCGAATTCGTCCCTAATGGAAGCCTTCACGACAAGCTCCACTCCGGCGCCGTGCTGCCGTGGGCTCGGCGAACTTCCATCGCTTACCGTCTCGCGCAAGCCCTCGACTATCTCCACGAAGGCTGCGAGCTCCAGATCGTCCATGGCGACATCAAGGCCTCCAACGTCCTCCTCGACGGCGACCTAAATCCCAAGCTATGCGACTTTGGCTGCGCGTGCATGGGTTTCTCCGCCGCCGTCCTGCCGCCGGTGGAGTTGACCGGTTCGCCGGGTTACATCGACCCGTACTACATTCGGACCGGGATGGTCTCCAAGAAGAGTGATGTGTACAGCTTTGGAGTGCTTCTGCTTGTAATCATCACCGGCGAGGAAGCGTTCGACGCGGGGGCAGAGAGGCTGTTAACGGCGGTGGCGGGTAAAACTGTCCGGGAGGCGGCCGGTGGGAAGGTGACGGAAATTGTCGATCGACGGCTCAACGGAGATTATGATGAGGGGGAAGTTGCGATAATGGCTGCCATCTCGGCGCTTTGCATTGGGGAGAATCCGAGCTTGCGGCCATCGATGGCGGATGTGGTGAGGATGATGGAGGAGAAGGTGCCGTCGGCGATCTCAACTGTCGATTGTAAACCGTAAACGAA